TATCTCTACTGTTTGTCTTCATAACTTCCACGTTTTGAAGACTTTCATAAAAATCGCCTATTCACCCCCCCTCTAGTCGATATAACGCACTTTCAACAACCATGCATGGTCATATGGCATGCACACAGCTCCGAAAGTTGCCCTTTTAGACGAGATTCTTCGTCGATTTCATTTGTTCCCACGAGATCCTTCGTCGATTTCATTTGTTCCCACGAGATCCTTGAATGATAAGGAAGGGTTTGGGAGAAGATAAGGCTCATCTAGAGCCCTCAGATGTGTTCCATCAACGGAGGAGACCGAGGAGGCACCTTATATATACACCTCCATACCCTAGCCGCCTCGAGCACATCTCATTCATCAACAACACATCCAACTCCATCTCCATTGATGCTCCATCCACCACCATATAGGAAGGGACGAGACCAAGGGGAAGAAGAGGAGGCTCCACCATCATGAGCATTTGCCTTCGTGATGGGTGCCATCTCCACCGCATCATCACCACCATCGCCGTCGCCGTCATCATCATCACCACCATGCCTTCTCCTTCACCGGCTCTATGTCGGCTTGTAACTTGATCCTCTCACTTATGTTTGAGTAGTTGTATTTGTTCTCAAGGATACAGATGAACCTCTTTTATAAGTAGACTGCTTATTCCCAAGCGATCCAGTATGCTTTTATACATGTTCAAGTTAGCATTCTTCACGAGTGTTGAGAGGAGTCCTCGCTCGCATTATCACCATGATTGCCCATGGAGGAACTATTATTGTTGCACGGGTTAGGATGCTGAGGTAATTTCAGGTGTGAGTAAAAGCCTCAATTCCGAGTCTTTGCAATTGATAGGGGAGTAATAGGTAAATCCACATCTGGCTGCATCCACGGGGAAACCCTTAATTGACCATATGTGATAACCTTCTTGGGGAAGCTACAGTTGGTGGCGTATGCAGCATGAAGTCTACGTTAGAGTAGAATATGTTCTTTACCGGGAACTGCTCACTTATGCATATGAAAGATGGATAGAGGATAAGAGCGTTTGCTCCTCACTTGTTGCGCGGGTCATATTTGTAGTGATGACTCCAGAGTCCTAGAGAACACTTTACTGCTCAAGCACTGTCTCAACTAACCTAGTCTCTTTTTATTCCTGTTTTTACCTTCATGTTCCTAGTATAGTAAAACCCTTTATTCCATTTCCCTAGCAACCGATAGAGTAGACTACTTCCGAACTCTTGTTTGGGTGCGTACATGACTGCATTAAGTGACATCGTAGTTGTGGGGTTTGTGGTGCCTTTCTTGCCACTTACTGTGGGTTCGACACTTCACTTATCACAAAAGTGCTACAACAGCCATCCGCACTTACAGGTCGTCAGGCGTTTTCTGGCGCCGTTGTCAGGGAGCATAGCGCTTGGTTATTACTTACCCGCTCGCACATAATTTATATTGTTTGTTGCTATTTATCTTACTGTTTTTCCCTTAACCCAAAAATACAAAAAATATGCCTTGCTTTGAGATGTCAACAGGGGACATAATGTTGTGATAAAACGAGCCCTTGGAAGAGGAAGGGTATATGAAGAATAACAGCATTCCAACAAAGGTATTGAGACAGGTGAGCAATTTTATGTTTTGAATATTGTGGCTGGTTTAATCTTTAATCCCTAATGGTTGCATACAGTGCAAATTCCTTCGCCACATGAGTTTTTACTGCAGAGATCACCCACACCCAGTTGTGAGATCATATAACCGTGGTGACTGCCCTTATGATGATGTTGAAGTCATTGAGGAGATGCTATTAGTGCTTAGATCTTTTAGCTTTTAATGTGGGTCAGCAGGTTTCCCGGAGAATATACATCGGTGACTTAAGTATGAGGGGCTTGTTGGAGAGAGCTTATGACTTCTGTGTAGATAATAATTTTTATGAGAATCCTTTGTACAAGGATTATAAGACGCAGATGGACACCATCTTCCAAGCCAATATTTCACAAGAATATAACTTATGCAGGAACATGAAGAAAATATCATCGAGCCACGAGAAAAAGAATATTTGCACAATGATGAGCTAGAGGAACACGCAGATGAAGGATGGAATGATGAAGGTTATGGTCTACGTGTAGCTCCTCTTCCTCTTGATTATAAAATTATTATGAAGTTGCAACAACTAACCTTTCACACATCGATCTCCACTTAGCTCGATGCATCCACACTTGTCAAAGAGCGAGTATGAATTTACCTACATGATGCCGATGCACCATAAGCAAGTACTACTCCGACCAGACTCTGCTACGTGGTGCTCCAAACCCCGGTCACTCGGGACTGATATTCCTTGGGATCCGGGTGGATGACCATACGAAGCACCGAAGACTAGGCATAGGGCTATAAAAAATCACAGGGAAGTAACCCGGAAGTCCATATGTGTCTTTGTTAGCTTTGTGTATCGCGTCTATTGTGTTGGCACTTTCATTTTCAAGTAGTTGCTATTTGAGTTGGTTTTGTGATATTTTCGTTGGTAAAATTTATAGCATGTCGGTAGCCTGTATTTTGTTGCATATTTTCTCTTATTTTTACTGCAAATATACTATGTTCCTAATGTGAGGAGGAAGTACAAAAGTGTCCATGCAGCTCTGTAGCTCCAGAAGAAAAGACGGCGTAGCATACGAACGCCATGATCGTAGGAGCGCTCATGTGAGCTCGTGGCCACAAGCACCAGAAAGTCCAGAGCGAAAGACGGCCAATCGTACAAACACTCGCACTCGTACGTGCGATCGTATCAACTGACGCCCACGAATGAAACTTCACAGAGTGAACGACGGCGTATCGTGCTCGTACATGCGCTCGTATGCCGTGTCCACCCCGACGACAAATATACCTCCAGAGCAAAAGACGGTGTCCGTCGCGCTTGTAGGCACGCTTGTATGAGAGGGTAACGCTGGGCATTGTCTACCAGAACGCACAACAACATACGATACGGCCGCACCTGATCGTATGCATGCTCGTATGAGGGCAAAAATACCTTTATACCAACTTATAACGTTTCAGACACATTCGCCGGTTACTGGTCGTTATTTTTGGCGTGATCTATTCTTATTCGTGCACACCTGAGACCAACTTGCCAGTCGGTCATTCATCCTATAATTGCTCCAAACTGAGCACGCTTAATTTTGAAGTTCTTTTCGAATGGTCTCTTAGAAAATAAGGAATTCCTTATTGATATGAGTAGTCTATCATCACTATTAACCTAGGCTCTCACGCACACCCCTATTAAGAGGAACCACGTCCTCGTTGGCCCATGGGAATGTTCCCTCTTGGCACACGTCTACGCATCCAGTCCAACACATGTGCCATGTCGTGTGTCACGACGAACCACAAACGACATGCACAACATGACCGCGTACCTGACCCACAAATATCCATGTAATCGTGAGGGTCGGCTCTGATATCAATTTGTAATCCCCGGGCACACACTCGTCGGTTACTGGTCGTTACTCATGGCGGGATTTAGAGTGGCCCCATAAATCAACACTAGCCTTTTTAGTGTTCTTTGTCCCCACTCGTCCGCACCTGGGACCAACTTTCCAGTCGGTCAACCATCCCGAAATTGGTCCAAGATGAGCACACTTAATTTTGGAGTTCTTTCCAAACGGACCCCCCCCCCCTCCCCGGAAAAGAAAAAAATCCTTATTGATATGAGTAGTCGATCATCCCTATTAAGTCAGGCACTCACATAAACTCTATCTGACTTATGTACAGAGAAGAGGTGACAACCGTTTAAAAGAATACACAATCGTCAAACACATCTAGCAACTTTTAGTTTTTATTCACATCTCCCCTTTGTTTTCTTCTTCTTTGTTCTTCGTGTTCGACGACAGCGAACCTCGAAGCCCTAGGGGCGTTAAGGTCGACCTATGGAAACTCATAGCCACCGTAAGCCATGATGGGTTCATCATGGATGTGTGGGGTTTCCATGTCTCCAAAAAAAACTTGTCGGCATGTCCTGCTTATCGCGCTAGGCTCCTCCAGCAACATCATCTTGCGCACCACGCTCGGTATCGGGGGTATATGATGACGTGCTCCACAATTTTGTCTAGGCAATAATATTTTTGATAAAGCGCGATTTTATGTACTCAAAATGTAGCATCAAGTGGATACAAAGTATTATGATCGAGCAACACCCGACCTCTGCATAATTAGGATGCACACAGCCGGACACCAAAAGTCTGACAACCAGAAGAAAACAAAACCGACAAATCGGCAATAGTAAAGTCCTATAGACCGACATTGTGCCTATGTCGAAAGGTGAGATGGACTGATCCGGAGGTTATGCCGCCACCCATATTGGGTAAAAACCTCCGTAGCCACCTGCTTCAACTGTGTACACACCGCATTGAACAACGATTGGACCTCTGCTCATTGTAGCATAAACCACATATGAAGCGAGTGCGTACAACGGAAAATAGCCTGCAGAGGAGAAGCATTTTTGTCATTAAAAACAAAATCATTTCTACATAGCCAAAGCGACCATAGTAAGGCATAAGCTCTCACCCTCAATAGTGTTTTGAACCTATTTAAAATACCGTCCAACCAGTGACCAAAAATATTGGCAACCAACGAGTGGTGCGTGCTTGCCTGCACGTGGGGGCAATGCTTTGTTGGTGTTGTGTCGCTATACTTGGTCCTGTCACGGTGACACAGTTGTACGTTCATCGAGAAACAAACAAAAAATATAGGAAAACGGAGCTGACACCCGAGCCGCTCTTGGCCATCTCCCCCAACGCTGGCTGAAAAGTATGCACTTGTTTCGGCCCTCAAATAGGTTGTGCACTTATTTTGGCCCTCAGATAGTGTGTGGTAATGGTATACGTTCGAGGTCACGGTTCACAAATTTGTGATAAGATCGGTGAAAGCTCCTGAGACAGATCTTCGTGAGCATGGATGCCCTTAAAAGCTGGTTGCCGTGGTCCTTCCAGTGTCACAGGCTCACAAGTCACAACTAACAGAGAGTTCATTAGAGGATGGCAGCGAGTTTGAAGCCAACGCCGGCAATCCTACTCAGCAGTCCCTGCTCCTCATCTGCCTACTCCTCTCGTCTCCCTCTCCAACCGTCTCCCCGGCCCCGCTTTCCCCATGTCCAAGCTTCACCTGCCACGGAAGCTACACCGGCCTCTAGAGTTGAACACGAAACAAGATATACATACAACCATGCCTCTGCTGGCGTTGCCGCTGCTCCGAAGACGCTGTCCAGCTATGAGCCCTCTCTGTGGGGTGACTACTTCCTCGACTACGAGCCAAAACCACTGCAGGTATACGCTAGTGCTACATATGTACATATATTTTTTGCTTTATTAATTCCCAATCCATGTTTCATCATTATGGTTTGCTACATTACTAACCCAGATACTTGTTTCATTGCATTTCTGACATTATTTATATGTATATATTACTAAGCGTAAAGCTCTAAAACAATTATACTATGTAAATACTATTCCTGGACAATCTAATCCACATGTTTACTTTTCAAGTATGCATGGTTCCTTTCGTTAACCCCAGCTAATAAATCTATGCATGCACGCTTGTGTGCAGAGGTCAGAAAAATGGATGACTGCAAGAGCTGATAAATTAAAGGAGGACATCAACATGTTGTTTGAGAGTTGCAAGTGCACGGTGGAAAGAATAACCTTATTGGACAGTGTCCAACGTCTCGGAATAGATCATCACTTTAAGAAACAGGCTGATATCGCGTTAAGTCAAATTATCGAGGATGAATTCAGTAGCTCTAGCCTCCATCACGTTGCCCTCCGGTTTGGCTTGCTTCGAGAACATGGTCTTTGGGTGTCTTCAGGTATCTATGTATCTATTTGTAAAATAAATTAATACAGTACTGGTTATACAATGATATGTGTTGTTTTAACAATGTCTCACCAACATTTATCATACAGATGTTTTCAACAAATTTAAGAATGAGGATGGGAGCTTTAGGAAAGATATTACCAATGACCCAAAGGGACTTTTATGTCTATACAACGCAGCCCATCTTCTTGTTCATGGTGAGCCATCATTGGAAGAAGCTATCTCATTTACAAAGCATCATCTTGAATTGATGAGGGACACTCTCAAGTCTCCTTTAGACGAGCAAGTTAAACGTGCCCTTCACGTACCATTACCAAGGACATTGAAAAGGGTGGAAACACTCCATTATATCTCTGAGTACATGCACGAGGAACAACATAACCCAACTCTATTGGAGCTTGCGAAGCTGGATTTTAACCTTCTACAACATGTACACTTGAAGGAACTCAAATATCTCACTAAGTATGTCTTTGTTATACTCAACTACACAATGAAGCTGGAATCGATATAAAATGCATGCCTTCACATACTGTATTTACAATTTGGATATTGTCCATCCAGTTATGTATTAGGACATATCTATTTTACCTAGATTAATCAAAGTACTTTAGGTGGTGGCGCGGTCTGTACAGGTGTGTCGGGCTAAACTATGCTCGGGACCGCCTGGTGGAGGGTTACCTTTGGTGCTATGCCATATACCATGAGAAAGAATTTGCGTTCTCAAGAATATTTCTTACCAAGCAATTGATGCTTATTTCCTTGATGGATGACACATATGATGCCCATGCCACCATTGAGGAATGTCGACAACTAAATGTGGCCATACAAAGGTTTGAAAGTTTGGATTTTATTTACATGCATGTGCAAAAACTAACATGCAATCAATATTCTATTTATGTCATGGACTGATTTTCATGCTATGTAATCCGACATGTAGATGGGATGAGAGGGCCACTTCTCTTCTACCCGACTACCTTAAAAGGTTCTATACTGAACTATTGAGAATATTTAAAGATGCTACGAGTGAAGTGGCAATTTGTGACACTTACCATGTTGCCTATGCCCGAAAAGCGGTAAACCACCATGTACCTTATATCTTTACCATTTTTTTAGATTGTTCGTTTTGTGTTTAATTTGTTTTTCTTCTATGCAGTTTCAAGATCTGTCCGCTTATTATCTCCAAGAAGTTGAATGGTTACACCAGGATCACAAGCCAAGCTTTAAAGATCACCTGAGTTTATCAGCCATGTCCATAGGATCACCAACGCTATGTGTAGGCTTGATGGTTGGCATGGGAGATCCAGTCACAAGGGAAGCATTTGAGTGGGCAGCTGGTTACCCAAAAGTCGCCATAGCGTGCGGGAAGATAGCACGTCTATTGGATGACATTGCCGCATTCAAAGTATACTCTTTTATTTTCTTATTTGGCCCAAACTATAACAACTCAACCACCAATAGGCACTCAAGATAATGTATCTAACTCCGATCATATAAATATGCAGGGCGGGAAGGCCAAGGGGGATATGGCAAGCTCTATAGAGTGTTACATGGTTGAGCACAGTGTCACAAGTGAGGTTGCCATTTCCAAGATCCTATCACTGCTAGAAGACGAATGGAGAACTCTAAATCAAGCTCACTTCGAACATCATTCACACCTCCTAGTGGTGCGGCGGATTATTAACTTTGCTAATAGCATGCTAGTGTTCTATGCTAGGAAAGATGCATATACCTTCAGCATAAATCTTAAGGAGACTGTTGAGAGCCTTTTTGTGAAACCCATTCCCATGTAGCCTCTAATAGGTTGTGTGGCAGTTTATCTTCAGCAAAGATGCAGTAGCCTCTAATAGGTTGTGTGGCAGTTTATCTTCAGCAAAGATGCATGCCATCATGCATCATAGCTTATGAGTTGGAGTGTGTGCACTATATATCTTTTCTACATACAGTATAAGTTTATATGGTAAAGATAAGCAGTTGTACTCAGAATTATTGAATGATATCACATACAGTTGTATGTCTCCACGTTGTTGCTCTCTCTCTCTCTCTCTCTCTCTCTCTCTCTCTCTCTCTCTCTCTCTCTTAATCCCTCCATTCCAAAATATGTGTTGTTATTTTAGTACAAATTTGAACTAAAACCACAACACTTATTTTTGAACGGAAGGAGTATTAAGTAGAATTTCACAAAAACTGCCTTCTTTTTTTGTGAAACGGCCAAAACCCAACTATTAAGTAGCAAAGACCCTTAAAAAATCATCCAAGTGGAGTATTTTATCCCTGCCTGGTATATGTACGTTTTCTCTCTCAAAAAGGCAAGCGTACTATTCTATCTTCTTCAGTGACAATGTTTGCATCACATGGAGCTAGCTTTGGCCCATCCCAAATGATGCAAAATAGACTGCCAAACAACCTAGCTAGAAACTGTATCGTCGAGGCACACCAAGGAAGGATACAAGAAACCAAACACGGAGTGGTAATTAGGTCAGACTATTCCACCGATGCAATCAGAAGAAAAGTTGGAATATGTACATATTCCAATTTTGTACGTAGAAATGGTTTTCAAGAGAAAATTACGTACACAGGAATCTCATTTTTGTCAGTGCACCTCTGAGTGCCAACCAGTCACTTTGGCGCTTAGTAAAGCTTTCGGTAATAGATGCCAATAAGGCAACAAGTGGGCAACGGATCAACTTGGTGTACAAGGCCGTGGTGAGGCCCGGAGAAGAAATCGAAGGGGTTTGTATGCATGTGAGGCAAAACTGTTGGTGGTTATAGTTACTTGCTTTTGTACGCAATCGCCCACCACCATATAACATCTTATATTCACCACCGTACGTAGTTGAAATGTTCAAAAAAGAAAAGAAATGTTGAAATTAGAAAAATCGTAAGTAGCTGGTGTTGTCAGATTATGGACCCATTGTACTAGACACGTGATGAGAATGGACAACTTTGGTTTGGTTGTTTTCATCGTCACTATCATGCACACAAGTTTCCGGCCACTGTATGTCTAGCGCTCGCGAGCTGTTCTCGTCTTGGCGCTTTTCCGAAGAAATCGCTGTCGAGCAAACCAAAGCTCCCGGAAACCAGCCTCCCGGTGAAAACCTGGAAACTCCAGCACGGGTCGTCGGATATGCAATCTAAGGAGCTGGATCATCCATCCACCATTCTATGTGTTTTACAGAAAAAATCAGAGGCTTTGTGTATTACAAAAACTAGCCCTCGGGTGCTTGCATGCAAACATGTGAGGTTCAATCAGAAGGGCATGTTTCAGATCCAACGGTGTAGGCATGGGTTTCCAAGTTCTCATTGAGTGGTAGGTTTCCATGTGATACTTTCTCGTCAACTAATTATGAAAACAACACCGCATCGAGCCATGAGACAAGGGAACCCTATGAAATTTCCACAGACCACATACGCCTAGTGGAGACTTTGGAGAATGACTTCGTGGAAAAGGTCACAAATGCATGTATGGTAAATGTTAAACGGCTGTATGTTTCTACATGTTTTGTACGTTGATCATCATTACTGCAACAATATTCTGCCACGTGGTTTTTTTTGTACTAAAAAGCAAATTTTCCACAATGTTCCTTAAAGGTAGTTCGAAGTGTCTCTCAAATCATGACAAGCATGGCATGTCTTGACATTTCATAGGCCCGGGACGAAAATAGAGCGGCCCCCTTAATAATATAAATATAAATATAATTATTTGTGTTTTGGCCTCGGCTCTAAATCCAAATATATGTGCAACACTCTCTTAAAGCTAGTCCACTATTTATTATTTGGTAATCCTAACTTGGATAAAACCAAAATTCTAACATTCTCTCTTTAGTTTGAAAACTGAATGCTCAACAAAAAACATCTACATTTTTAATGTTGTTACCGAAAGCTTTTATGCCTTATATTAGATTAGTTCTAGCAAAATAGAAATGTGCTAAATTTTGCATAATACTTTGACAACAACACTGTTCTGGTGATATCTCAACAATCATTAATCCAAACTGAGCAAATTGGGTTCGAATGAAATGACACAACCATTACAAGCTTGATTTTGGTGTAATCTCAAAATTAAAGTATGTATAGTTCTGGTGTCCAAAACACTAATCCCATCGAACTTAAATTAACAAACAACAAAAAGTTTCAATAAAGAACAAACAAATTCAGGAACTTGGGACTACCAGAAGGGTTACCTTTGAGCCGTAGATCATGGGTTCAGAATCAACTGACAGATTCCAACCCAATCTAAGCAGTCGTGCTCTCCTGTTGTCGATTGTTCATCGGCTCATGGGTACTGTTGTGCATCAGGTGGTAAGGCGAGGTGAGGGTGCGAGGCGAGACGATGACGATCAGGCGATGACAAGGGTGCTCAGCGCAAGACAAAAGTCATCCATCGGCGTGTGTGATGCATCGCTCCTCCTTGAACTGGTTTGTTCTATCAACCATGGTGCATACACATTTTCTTAAAGGTAATAGTCCGTAAAGGCAACACTCCTAACCGCTGAGAAGCAACACTGTCAAGCATAGTATGTCTCAGGGGAGAACAACCATGCTAGGGTGAGATGTCTAAGGAGGATTACGTGGCAGCAGTCATGCAGACAGTACCTTTGAATATCCAGTTTAGGAGGTCTCTAGTAGGGGAGCGATGGAACACCTGGTTGCACTTAGTGTAGAGGTTGATGGACGTACAACTCTCTGATCGGCGCGACACCTTGAAATGGCAGTTATCAGGTAATGGAGTGTTTTCGGTCAAATCGATGTACCTAGACCTTATTAATTTTGGCCCAATCCCGAGATCGATGCACATTTGGAAAGTTAAGGTTCCCTTGCGAATCAAGATTTTTATATGGTTTGTGCACAAGCAAGTGATCCTTACCAAAGATAACTTACTTAAGCGAAGATGGATAGGTAGCTCACGATGTTGTTTTTGTGTTCATGATGAAACAATTCAACACTTATTTATTGATTGCCCTCTCGTGAAGTTACTTTGGAGGTCCATCCATATAGCTTTTAATATTATTCCTCTAGTTAGCATTGATGTGTTGTTTGGGACGTGGCTAAATGGAGTGATTCCTGAGATTGCGTCAACCATTCGGATTGGAATATGCACATTTCTTTAGGCTATATGGAACTGCAGAAATGATATGATTTTTAACAGATTATCCATTATTAATTTCTTGCAGGTTATCTTCAGAGCTATGGCATGGATCCGTATGTGGTTGCTACTCACACTAGTAGAAAACGGGGCTTTGGTCCAGGCTAGGTCAGCCCATTAGTCCCGGTTCAGTCCAGAATCGGGACCAATGTGGGCATTGGTCCCGGTTCGTGAGCCCAGGGGGCCGGCCGGGCCACATGGGCCATTGGTCCCGGTTCATCTGGACCTTTTAGTCCTGGTTGGTGGGATGAACCGGGACCAATGGGCCTCGCTCCTGGCCCACCACCATTGGTCCCGGTTGGTGGCTTGAACCAGGACCAAAGGCTCCCCTTTAGTCCTTGCTCATGTCACCAACCGGAACCAATGAGGTGCCTATATATACCCCTCGCTCGCGAGCAGAGCACCCCAGTGCTCTGTTTTTCTCTGGCCGAGGGGGAGAGGGCTTGGTGGTGCTCTAGCTCACCTCCTATGCACACAAGGTGTTCGATGGAATGTCCGAGCCACACTACTTAAGCTTTCTCCTCTCCAAGCTCGACCTCCAAGCTCCATTTTCCATAATATTTGTCTAGGTTTAGCGGTCCGTCACGCCCCGTACCCGTCTTCACCGCCGTCGATCACCCGCGCCAAGCTCATCGCCGGCACCACCATGGTGAGCCTCTTGTTCTTATCTTCTTTCTAAAAGGAAAAATATTCTTACTTGTATGTTTACATAGATACTTGTATTATTTTCTTACTTTTATTATTGCATCTTATATAGTGCGATGGTTTTGGTATCCGCCCCCGTCGGCCCTCGTCCTGTCTATGATTCGGATGTGGTATATATATTATCTTTATAACTATTGGTTCATTTATTGTTTATGAAAATTATGCCGACCAACATGACATAGATTTTATTTATGTAGGATGTATGTGAATCGGAAATGCCAACCGACCCTATTGTCGAGAGGTTAAATTTAGTTGAAAAAGAAAACAATTTGTTGAAGGAAAAAATAAAAAAATTGAGGAGGAGAAGATGATATTGGAGTTGCATGTTGCGGATGTCGTCGATGATCACAAGATCAAGATGGATGCAATGCGCTTGAAGATTAGAAAGATTAGAAAATATGCCATCCATACTAAGGCTTGGTATCATTATGCCGTTGGATCAATTGTTACCTTGGTTGCGATTATGATCGCATTTGTTTTCGCATTGAAACATTTTACATAGTTTCAATGTATGGTTTAATTAATTAGATGCTCTGGAGAGCTACATGTTGTTAGATGAGAACTATGTATGCACTTTGGTTTTAATGTGATGATGAACTTCTATTAATTTGGACACTTAATTATATATAATGCACGTAGATGAACCGGCAATGGATGTACGGTGACAGACACACCTGCGAGTACATTAAGGGCGTGCATGAGTTTCTCGATGCGGCTGAGGCAAACAAGCAGAATGGTTTTATGTGTTGTCCGTGCACTGAATGTGGGAATACGAGGTCTTACTCTAACCGGAAAATCCTTCACTCCCACCTGCTTTACAAGGGTTTCATGCCACACTATAATGTTTGGACGAGGCACGGAGAAATAGGGGTTATGATGGAAGACGGCGAAGAAGAAGAGTACGATGACAACTATGTGCCCCCTGAATACGGTGATGCTGCA